TATATATATATATATATATATATATATATATTTATGTTATTATTACTCGTATGTGCAGGTCAGTGCACATCATGCGTCTACCTATGATCAGCACACAAATTTTGTCGTGCTTCATTTCTACGCTGTGGACGCAATATTTACAAAAAAAAAAAAAACATGCGAAGATAAGACAACGAAAAGACGCTAGCTGTTTTTTATTTCGTTGGTTATATTCTTTTTTTATATACAACAGAAATATTTTTCACATGTTTTCACATCATCCTTTTCCGTCATGCCTACTGCATGAATGAGTAAATATTACTATACAATGAAAACAAAGATTAGAAAAGAACACTCCCATATGCGACCACAACTCTTTTTTTTTAAACTTGGGACCGCAGTCATGAGTATTTTGCAAATTACATAGTTATGTGTATATATATATATACACCCATATGTGCATTACTCAATTCATAAATGTGTGTCCCCAGAGTCGTGGAGGAAGCGAGTACTGTAAAATGCAAAAGAAAAAAAAAAGTCTTTGCAAATGCATCTGAAAACCTGTATGCCAACACTCTCTCATGGGCTTTCTATTGAATTATTGTAGACTTACAAAGTCCTAGAAAGGGAAAAGCATACACAACAACAACAAAAAAAAAAAAAACATCAGAATGCAATAGGTTATGAGTGCTTATTTTCTTTCGTTTTTTTTTTTTCCTATTCATCCTATTACACTCGTTATACCGATTAGTACTCGGACATCGAGTTGAATGCATAAACATACAGTGAAACATAAATGAACTAAAAAAAAAAGGAGAAAAAGGTATATTTCTATATGATGAAAAGAATATTATTTAAAAAAAAATCACGAGAAATCCCTCAAAACATGTTATATATAACTTTATATATGACATGTGAGTGTGTTTATTTATTTATTGGTTCTATTCAAGATACTTCTCAATATTGTTGACAGTTTGTCTTCGCTACACTGAGTATACTTTTAAAGGCTATACGCATGAAATACTAACAAAAATGTAGCAATAATCACATATAAATGATTTTGTTTTGTCTAAAGAGTCTCTTTGAACTTCTCTTCATTCTTTGTTTCAGTAAGAATTCGTGACATTTTAAAAAGAAGAAGGAAAAAGAAAAAGAGGAACAATGTCATCGCAAAAATCTGCTGCTAAAGCCATTCCAGATAACCACTTGGAGGTTTTTGACCCGAACTTCAAGAACATGTACCTGGTGCCTTCCCATTTGGTCGTTCACACACCACCAGGACGAACCAACCTCACTCGATTGGTACACTGTCGAAACTACAAGGCTCATTACAGTGCCTCATGTAGTATGGGAGACAGCTGCAAGTTTGTTCATGCTGATGTGGACTATGACACACTGCAAGCTCAACCGATTCACGTAAACTATATTTGGCGTGATGAGAGTTTGTGCACATACAGACACCTGCCATCTGGTGGGTATCTGGATGTTCTTTTGCCGAACAACAAGCAGCCTATGGAGCGGATTCCCAGTGAGCGTATTCTCATGACACAGGGAGCCCTTCCCTTCTTCAAGGGGAAAAACCGGCCTGTTTCACACTGCGCGCACTATTACTTCAACCAACTGTGCTACCGCGGTGAGCGCTGTAACTTCATCCACGCACTCTACGTGGACCCCACCATTTCCACCGACTTCAAGCGGGTCTCGCGGCACCACCACCGCCAGCGGGGGGCAGACCAGGCGAAGGCCCCGCCGGCAGCGAAGGGGGCCGGTGAGACGGCCGGGCAGAACCCCCGCCAGGGGAGTGAGGCCGGCGCGGTGGAAAGCCCCCACCCCGTTGTGCGCGAGATTGTGCTGCCGTCCGACCCGCCGCTCGTGTCGCTCGTGCACGGGGCCGCTCAGTCCGCGGCAAGCAGCGATGATGCGTACAGAAGTGTCTCAGGAGGGGACGACGTGGTGACACCCGAAACAAGCGTGAGATGTCGTGGAACAACTGAGACGCAGAAGAATGTCGGCGCCTTCCACGGTGCAGGACGGTCGATCACGCGTGTGTATCGGCATGACCCATACCAATTGCTTAAATAGTAATTGGGAACGGCAGGTAAAATTGTGTGGCATCTTTTTTTTTTTTTTCTTTTTTTTTTCCCCCTCTTTACATCATGTTTTTTTTTTTTTTTTTTCTCTACTTGTGAACATATTTTAGTAGATTTAGTATTATGTACGTAGGAAAAGCAATGTATTATGCAGCTAGTTCTTTCTGTACGTTTTTGTTTTGTGGTGATGTTGCTTCGAAGGAATAGTATTTTTTTTTTTTTAGGACAAACCTTATGGTAATGTCTTTATTTATCAATGTGGTTTTTTTTTTTGTGAAGAAAAATTTTGATTCCTTCTTTTTTTGATGTTGTGTTTCTACTTTTAAGTTATTTCTTCTGAGGGGGATTAAATTTGTGACATGTAATGTTGTCTTGTTGTGTTTTTTTTTTTTTTTTTTTTTTTTTTTTTTTTTTTTTTTT